GGGGGGGGGAGGGAAGAGGGGAATTTGGGGGGGGGTCTCAGAGGGGGGAGGGGTCGATTTTGGGGGGCCTTGGGGGAATTTTGGGGAGAATTTGAGGGGGATTGTGGAGGGCGTGGGGTGTTTTGGGGTGTTTTGGGGTGTTTGGGGTGTTTTGTGTTACTTTGGGTATTTTTGGGGTGGTTTTGGGCGCTTTCTGGGTGTTTTTTGGATATTTTGAGGGGTCTTTGGGGGGTCCCTGCTCCCAGCCTGGCCCGGGGATGGGGGGATGGGGGCTGCCCCTCCCCCTCCCCACGTGCCCCTGCTAAGCCGGGATCACCTTCATCCCATCCCCCCCCAAATCCCCCAAATCCCCCCCCCAAATCCCACCTGATAAAGGCCGGAGCTCGCCCGGCCCCGCCAGAGGAGCCTTCGTCACCGGCCCGGTCCTCGCCCTCCTCATCCTCGGCCCAGCCGCGCTCCGGAACCTTCCAGTGAGGACCCCCGGGACCCCCGGGCTGGCTCTGGGACCTTCCTCCTCCTCCTCCTCCTCGTTCTTGGGGTCCAGGACTTTCTTCTGCTTCGTTTTTGTGTCCTGGATCTTCCTCAGCCTCGGTTTTGGGGGTTTGGGACCTTCCTCATCCTCCGGGACCTTCCTCATCCTCATTTTTTGGGTTTGAGATCTTCCTCAGCCTCAGTTTTGTCCACCTGGGATCTTCTGTCACTTTTTTTTGGGGGGTCTGGGACCTTCCTCATCCTCGTTTTGTGGCGTTCCAGGGCCCTCCTCTTCTTCCTGCTCCTCCTCCTGCCGTCCTGGACCTTCCTCCCCATTCCAGGATCCGAAACCTTCCTCATCCTCCGTAGCCTGGGGGTCCAGACCCTTCCTCCTCCTCATTTTTTTTGAGTTCCAGGACCCTCCTCCTCCTCCTCCTGGCATCCCAGACCTTCCTCTACCCCCCATTCCGGAATCCAGAACCTTCCTCTTCCTCCCTATTCTGGGCTCCAAAACCTTCCCCCCCAGTTAGCATCCAGAGCCTTCCTCTTCACCCCCCATTCCGGGATCCAGAACCTTCCTCCCCATTCCGGGATCCAAAACCTTCCTCTTCCTCCCCATTCCGGGATCCAAAACCTTCCTCTTCACCCCCCATTCCGGGATCCAGAACCTTCCTCTTCCTCCCCATTCCGGGATCCAGAACCTTCCTCTTCCTCCCCATTCCAGCATCCAGACCCTTCCTCCCCAGCTCACCCCCTTTTCTCTTTCCCTCCCAGGCTCTTCCTCTTCCTCCTCCTCCTCCTCCTCCCCGCGGGGGCCTCTCCTCGCCCGCCATGGGCAACGCCAAGAGCGGGGCGCTGTCCAAGGAGGTGCTGGAGGACCTGAAGACGAGCACGCGCTACTCGGAGGAGGAGCTGTGCCGCTGGTACGAGAGCTTCCAGCGCCAGTGCCCCGACGGCCGCATCAGCCGCGCCGAGTTCGAGAAGATCTACGGCACCTTCTTCCCCAACTCGGACCCGCAGGGCTACGCCCGCCACGTCTTCCGCAGCTTCGACACCAACGACGACGGCACGCTGGACTTCCGGGAGTACATCATCGCCCTGCACCTCACCTCGTCCGGAAAGACCCACCTCAAACTCGAGTGGGCCTTCTCGCTCTTCGACGTGGACCGCAACGGCGAGGTCAGCAAGAGCGAGGTGCTGGAGATCATCACGGTGAGATTCGGGGTTTGGGAATGGGAAATGTGGGGTTTGGGGTTTGGGAATGGGAGATTTGGGGTGTGAGAATGGGAAATGTGGGGTTTGGGGTGTGGGGACGGCGAGGTCAGCAAGAGCGAGGTGCTGGAGATATTCACGGTGAGATTCGGGGTTTGGGAATGGGAGGTTTGGGGTGTGGGAATGGGAAATGTGGGGTTTGGGAATGGGAGATTTGGGGTTTGGGGTTTGGGAATGGGAGGTTTGGGGTTTGGGAATGGGAAATGTGGGGTTTGGGGTTTGGGAATGGGAGATTTGGGGTGTGAGAATGGGAAATGTGGGGTTTGGGGTGTGGGGATGGCGAGGTCAGCAAGAGCGAGGTGCTGGAGATCATCACGGTGAGGAGATTCAGGGTTTGGGGTTTGGGAATGGGAAATGTGGGGTTTGGGAATGGGAGATTTGGGGTTTGGGAATGGGAAATGTGGGGTTTGGGAATGGGAGATTTGGGGTTTGGGAATGGGAAATGTGGGGTGTGGGAATGCAGGATTTGGGGTTTGGGGTTTGGGAATGCAGGATTTGGGGTTTGGGGTGTGGGAATGCAGGATTTGGGGTTTGGGGTTTGGGAATGCAGGATTTGGGGTTTGGGAATGCAGGATTTGGGGTTTGGGGTGTGGGAATGCAGGATTTGGGGTTTAGGAATGAGAAATTTGGGGTTTGGGATTGTGGGAAAGGAGGGATCAGCAGGGCCGAGGTGCTGGAGATGATCCCGGTGAGGAAATTCGGGATTTGGGGATCCCGGGAATGGATCACCCCGGAGGGGAGGTTTGGGATCCCCTGGAAAAGGGGGGGAACCCCTGGATCCGGGAATTCCCATCGGGATCTGGAGGAGGGGCTCTGACCCTCCAGCCCCTCCCCCACCCAGGGTCTGCCCCGCTCCCCAATTAACACCGGGGTGGGGGACGGGCGCTAATTGGCTTTGCCCCTCCCCCGCTCCCCTGATCCCGGATTTTCAATCCCTGATGGAAAAAGCTCCGGGGGGGGGCGGGGGGGGGAGGGGCGCGATAAACGGATCCATTGGGGGGGGG